AGTTGAAAAAAAAATGTTTCCTGCTTTAGGATGCTTACTCACCAAGAGTTCAACATCACAAGATGTCTTTCTTTAAAAAATGTATTCACTGGAGCTGGGTTGTGTCATAGAGGATAAAGCTGCCATTTGTGACGCTGGCATCCCATATGAGCGCCAGTTGTTTCACTTCCAATACAACTCACTGCTAATGTGCCTGGGAAAGCAGTGGAGGATGTCCCGAGTGCTTGTTCTCCTGCAAGCCATGTGGGAGACCCAGACTGAGTTCCAGGATCCTGGCTTCAGCCTGGCTCAGCTCCAGCCATTGTGGCTATTTGGGGAGTAGATCAGCAAATGGAAGATTCTCTCTCTCTCGCTTGGTCACGCTCTCTCTCTCTCTCTCTCTCTCTATATATATATATATATATATGTCCTTCTCTCTGTAACTATGCATTTCAAATAAATCTTTTTTAAAAGTATGCATTTATTATTGAGGGAGAGCGAAATCTCCCATTCATTGGTTCACACCATAAATCCTGCAACAGCTTGGACTGGTTCAGACCAAAGCTGGGAACCATGAACTCAATCCGGGTCTCCCACGTGGGTAGCAGGGACTCAGTTACTTGAGCCATCACTGGCTGTCTCCCAGCATACACATTAGCAGGAAGCAGGAATTGGGAGTGGAGCCCAGAGTCAAACCCAGACATTCAGATACAGGATGAGTATATCCCAACCGGCATCTTAACTACTAGGCCAAAATGTTGCCCCACACAGAGTATCTTGCAGGTCATCAAATTCATCCTCCCTGTTCAGTCCTACAGCACTGCTCCTCCAGCCCAGGCAGCTGATCCAAGACAGTGTTGATGAGGAAAAGAGACAGTGTTCATGAGGATGAGTTGAAAATGCTGATTTTAAAATTCCCTTTAGCTTTACAAACAACATTTCAATGGTCAGATAGCCCATGCTTCTGAGAGTACTTAAATATTTAAAAAAAAATATTAAGACTCCTTTTTTGATTGATTGATTTGAAAGCAGAGATACAGAAATGGAGGGAGGGAGAAAAGGAGGGAGTGAGGGAGAGAGAGAGAGAGAGAGAGAGAGAGAGAGAGGGAAGAAGTGGGGGGAGATATCTTCATCTGCTCTTCATTCCCCAAATAGCCACAATAGCCAGGGCTGGACCAGGTGGAAGCTAGGAGCCAGGAGCTTCTTCCAGGTCTCCCTCATGAGTGTAGGGGCCCAAGAACTTGGGCCATCTTCTTCTGCTGTCCCAGGTGCGTTAGCAGGGGGCTGGATTGGAAGTGGAACAGCTGGGACTTAAACTGGTACCCCTATGGGATGTTGACTCTACGAGCAGAGGCTTAGCCTTCTACCCTACAATGCACACACATCTGAGAGTATTTGTATGGCATCGGAGATTTTCTAGTTGGGAATCTACACATAGGTAGGCAGGGATAAAGGTGTTCTTCATCACAAAAACTATAGGCCAGCTCCATCCTCAAATCCCAGTGGCATATGCCTTGAAAATCTTTAACTTTAGCATATCCTTTGCATCAAAAATTCTACTCTTGGGCATTTATTCTAAAGAGATCAGGAAACAAGGATAGGCCCAAGGATATCCACTGAGCACGCGGCCTGACTTTAAGACCACGGACGCTGGGGTCGGACGGCCAAGGTTCCAATGTTGACTTCTTAGCTGTGTCATCTTTTGCATGTCATTCATGTCCTCTCTCCCTCATCTGTCAAAGGGACTGGTAATTGTCCCTAGCTCATAGAATCTATTTATCATGACAAATAAGTGAGTTTATATTCAAAGGTGCTTAAGATGATTTCTGTCACATGGTGCTTGTTTCTAATAATGAAAAAGTTAAAATAGGCTGAATATTTATGGTTTCATAAAGCAAAATGTATGTTTTAATGATTTCATAGATTAAGAAAAATTAAGTAGGCTTCAAAATAATATATTAGGTATGAATGCTGAATAATTGTATACTAAAAAATTAACTGTAGTTGTTTTTTGGTGGTGGAATTTATAGAATATATGCTTCCTTCTTGATCATTGCTATTTTCTAAAATTTTTATAATGGAAATGTATAGTTTAATAAAAGTTGTCTTTTTAATCACTATAGAACAAGAGTAATAATAGCTAATATTTATTGAGAAATCATGTCAGATGCTTTTTTAAGCAATATGTATGTATGTATATGTAAATATATATATGTAAAATACAGAACTGTACACAGTAATTGTTTAGAATAACCCTGTGAGACAGGCGAGATTGTTGTCTCCACTTAACAGATTAAAAATTTAGGCACAGATAAGTGAGGCAGTTAGCCCAAAGTCTTCCATCTGGTAAGAACTAGAGGTAAGATTTGAATATAAGCCATTTGAATCAGATTCTGTGTTTTCCATATGATTTTAGTACCTGCCAAGGACTACACTGAACTATAGCACCTCTATAAATACCCTAGCTGCATTTGCTGTTTACAGCAAATGAATAGCAAGTGTCTCTCCTTCGTGTATCTTTGTCACTAATTAATAGTTGAACAGAAGATTTCCAGGTCTCCAGTCTTTCTCTTCTTTATTTTGCTTAGATTAAATGGGGAGAGTATTTCAGATGATATATTAAAGTTAGATTTCCCATGCATTCCTTAAAGAGAGCATTAACCAAACTAGAAATAGTTTATGTTTTTAAATTCTGAACTGAAATAGTTGTGAAGTAATGTGTACATTTTTCACCAGCCTATTATCCAAATAGCCCTGGTATAGCTGCAGGGTCTCTTTCAGATGTGCAGAAGATAAGATAGAAAAATACCAAAACAAAGTGACCTCAGGGCTGCAATGTGTTGTGAGAATCAATATATTGAGTTCCATTAGCAATACAGTAAAGAACAAAGTTGTCCCTTTAATTCAGGAAACCTAATTAAGATAGATCAAAGACATCGTGAAGTAACAGTGGATTTTCAGGAACTGTTCCTTTTCTAGAATTTCTGCTTTTATGCAGGCAGTTAAATTATAACTGATGGAGTTGGTATGTCTTTTAAGGAATGAAAACTGGGTGCTTCAGAGTAATCACTTCACAATAGAAAATAATAACTTCAATCTGGTGACTGTCAGCACAGGGTCTATTTTTGAAATTGCCCACCTTTATCATTTAATAACCAACCTGAGGATTTGCTAGCAAACAAGATAATTTGCTAGGCTGTTAGGAAAACCACATTACTGTATTACACTGCCAATCATGAATCCTTGAGATTATAAAATACTACAATTTAGTATTAATGCATTACTCAGAAGCAGCTAATTAAGTGTGGGAAGCTTCTGGGAACTCAGTACCTCATTAGACAAAGTCTCGGCAATCCAGAAGGAATAGCTGGTCTCAGTACTGATAAATTGCCACCCTAATCTTCCCAGAATACTGCTGGGAGCTAGAATGACTGCTGTCCTCTGGCTAAGGGGTCAGTCTTGATCTCTTTCTCAGAAAAAGCTGGATTTCCCAAGAGGCCCTGGAATCCCAGGAAGGCATTTATTTTTTTCTTCCTGCCTTGCATAGCCTACCTTTTACTTTAGCTAAATCCATAAAACCCACCAGAGAGAGGGCTCTCTCTGTTTACCAGCGGGCCAGAGTCTGGCCACATCTTGCACTGATGGTTCACCTTGGCCTGATAGGGAGAGGGTAATGTGTGGCTTCTTTAGGAACCTCTTCTGCTCCCCCGCTGCCTCTCACTGCTTTCCTGAGGATGAAGCAGGGAAGCAGACGAGGAGCGTAAGGACTGGTTCCTGCACAGGACTCATTCTCTACAAGCCATGGACAAGTCAGCCTCAGTTTTCTCAATAGTAGAATGGGATTAAAGTCTGCCTCACAGAGCTATCAACCTTAAATGATCTAAACAATAGGAGGCATCTCATCCAGGGCCTGCGACCTAGTAGAAAGTCAATGAATAGTTATTGAGATAGTGATTCTTCACTACTCATTAGAAACTCAACACTGTAGATCCTTCCCTCAGCTCAGAAAAGTGAGCTGACTTTGATTACTGGACCAGAAGAGGCACACACTGTGCTGCAGGAATTGAGTAACAAGATCAAATAGAATTGTCTACCTCGATTTATTTTCTGAAAGCACATGGACTTTCATCTTTTGTTTAAATGGCCTCCTTCACTTCTTTGCATGGTTCTCTGCTGGCTCCTCCACCCTCCCGTCACTTCCCCAGTCCATCTATGGGAATATTTCTGTTATGCACTTTCAGAGCTGTGTGTAGCTTTCATTAGAATGAATGTATCACTCCATCACACAGCGTATTTCTCCTTTAACTACATACCTAGCTCAAGTCTGTACTTAAAATGTAGTGGGATCTTTGGAAACTAATGAACAACCCCACCCCAAAACTAAAATTCCAAATTTCAGTAATAACACACAGATGCCATCACTGTCATACTCTTTGGAAATATGAATTTTCTGCTTTTGGTTAAGGTTCTGTTCTTTGTAGAAAAGCTGAAGCTGCAGTAAGAGCAAGTCAAAACCGTAGGCGGATAGTGCTGGTGCAAGCAATTTCTGAGCCTGGCCTGTCTTCCTGGCTGCTCCCGATTGGTCCACCTCTCTGCGCCTCACGTGCCAACTTCAGCTATGGCTAACTGACTGCAGTGGCCCAAAGAGACACTGTGTTGGAAAAGCTGCTTGCCTTTTGGGCAGCTGAGTGAAAGCCTGACCTCCCAGGAGGGAGGGGTGCGTGTTCTTGCCCCACGGGGGCCTCTGGTGACAGTCTCCTGCAGGTCAGGCATCTTTAGCAAAGCAGCCTAAGCAGGCTGTAGCTGTGCGGCTGAAGCCATGTCCTGTGCCTGTGCCTGTGCCTTGCCTTGCTTGTCTGCTTTGAGGCAAACACTGAGAGCTCGGCAGCTCTGGAATCTTGGCACTTGCTGAGTGAGAGTGCGCAAACGCAGGGCGCCAGGCACCTCAAGGCCGGGGACCGGGCCAGCGTGTTCTCGGGTTTCCTTTCCTTCATGCCTTTGTCCCCCTTGTTGTTTTTCAGGTAGTGAAGCTGATTTTAGCTCCTCGAGCAGCACGGGCAGCATTTCCGCTCCTGAGGTTCACATGTCTACGGCGGGAAGCAAGCGGTCCTCCTTTGCACGCAAGTAGGCACTGCCCCTTGCTGTCATTGAGCACTTTGCGTGCGTGACAACCTGCGCTTTATGTTTTGCTAGAACCACCTGGATTACTGTCTATTTATACTTTGCTACTCTTCATGGAGTTGCGGTTTCTTTTGTTTACGGTGAATTGAAATTGGCTCTTTTTCCTACTTAACCTGCTGTGGTCGCTTGGCTGTTCCTGGCTTCGTTCTGCATCTGCCTCTCGTCCAATCCTTCACTGTGTCCACTTAGCCTGCACTTGTTTCTCTCACTTCCTCACTCGTCTGTGTCCTCACCTGGTAGTAAGGTACTAAGGCTCCCATTTCCCACCCTGCCTCCCCTTTGCCCTTCTCATTGCTAGCTTTAATCTTTGTGAAGGGAGTACTACAGCTGCCGGAGACCTCCCAACAATGACTTGGGGAAGGAGTGAAGAGAGCGTGATGTTTGTAGGTGTGGATGGCCAGCGCTGCAAGAGACAACAGAGCGAAATAGCTGAGCACGTGGGCCTGGGAACCGGGCCACCTTGGTTTGAGTGCCAGCGTCACCACTTAAGGCTGTGTGGCCCTGAGCAAGTTGCTTAACTTCCCTATGGCTCAGTTTCCAGTGTGTAAAGGAGAGGCATAGTGATACTCGGCTCATAAAGTGTATGGTTGTGATTCAGTGAGGTAATAAAGGCGAAGTGCTAGGGCCTAGCAAGCATCAGCAAATGTTCATCAGTGATGTTATTTGAATCTGGGGAGAAGACTGTGGGAAAATTGAAGCCATTATTCACATTTCATTGGAGGGCTTTTAGGCATGGGGATTCTTTCCTTGCCACCAGTGGTTGTATTAGTTATTCAACAAACACTCATCGAGCATCTTCTGTAAGGCAGGGTCTAGAGAGAGCAGTCAACAAAACACCAAAAACTTATATTCATTCTTCTAGGGCAATAAAGATGATAAATAGATAAATAATGTAATTATTTAAAAATGATACACAAGGAAAGGATATAGAGAGCAATGGGGCATGCAGTGTGTTTTAGATGGGCTAGTCTCAGGAGGCCTGAGTGATGAGGTGAGCAGGGACATGAAGGGAGCAGTGGACTGAGCCCCGGCAGCACCTGGGTCTCCTGCCTTTGTCAATTCACCTGACTGTTCTGGGCCAAGTGTCACAATTGTCAGAAGGCGGTAAGACTATATGATTTGTAAGGTCAGTTTCTGGCACAAAAAAAAAAGTTAGTTTTTAAACTTTGCATTTCCAGGACTCAACAAGCAAATATTTCATATTTTGGAAATAAAGTGTATCTGGGTCACAGGGTATAAATATGAAATTCTCTTCATAAATCAGATGTGACTTGCTGTCAGAATAAGCCATCTATCTAACCCATCAAGTAATTAACATATACCCATGGTACAAGGTATCCAAGAACATAGGCAAAAATGAATTAATTAAGTAAAGAATATTTTTAGAAGATACTGATTTTATTTTTTTATTTATATATTTTGAAAGAATTACAAAGAGTGAGGGTAAGACAAAAAGAGAGATCCATCCACTAGTTCACTTCCTAAATGGCTGCAATGGCCAAGGCTGGGTCAGACTGAAGCAAGAAGCCAGGAGCTTCATCTGGGTCTCCCATGTGGCTGGCAGGGACTCAACACTTGGGCCATCTTCTGTTGCTTTTTCCAGGCCAATAGCAGGGAGCCAGATTGGACGTGGAGCAGTGGAGACATGAATTAGCACCCATTTGGGATGCTACGTCACAACCCTGACCCCAGAAACCAATTTTATTAAGCATTTCAAAGAAACTGGTGTTTATGGTGGAATTTCAAGGTCATGTCAATAATAGAGTCACTAAGAAAATATTCTTGATTGGAATTCAAGATTACTTTAAGTGATCAAAAGTTTACACATTAAATAAAGTTTATATACTAAGCATAAAATAGATAAATATAATTATATTCAGAATTTACTGTGGATGAACAATAATAGGCTTCAAAAGGGACTGGTATTGTAGCACCATGGGTTAACCTGCAGCCTGTGACCATATGGGCATCAGTTTGAGTCCTGGCTGCTCCACCCCATATCCACCTCCCTGCAATGCACCTGGGAAAGCAGTGGAAGATGGCCAAGTACTGGGACCCCTGCACCCACATGAGAGACCTGGATGGAGTTCCTGGCTCCTGGCTTTGACCTGTCCCAGCCCTGGCAGTAGCAGACGTTTGGGAAGTGAACCAGCAGATGGAATATTTCTACCCCCACCCATCCTGCCCTGGACCAGTAACTGTACCTTTCAAATAAATAAAATAAATCATATATATACACATATATATGTGTATATATGTATATTATATATGAAAATATATTATATATAAATAAAATAAATCTTTATATATGTTTAAAAGTAGGCTTCTAAAGTTTATCAAAAATTAGTGTGTGGAAAATTAATATTGGCAATTCTCTATCCATTATCCTCATTAAAAAAAAAATCTGACTTAGGTGCTGAGCTTCATCAATAGATTTTAGTGGTGGATCTCTCCGCCAACATTTCACCTAATCTTTGTGCTCTACTGGACCACGTAGCCTTTCCCTGGGCTAGGTGGATGTCAATGCCAAGCTCGAGTAGCTTGCGATTCTTTGAATAATGAGGTCCCCTCTGTCATGAATTTTCTCCGTGGAGAATTAGCTCCTGGAAGGCTGGTAGAACATTTGATGAAGGGATAAGAGACATGAGGACATGTGGAGTTGGTAAGAATATGCTTTTTTAAAAGATTTATTTTATTTTAAATGAAAAATAATTGTTTTGAAAGGCATAGTTGCAGAGAGAGAGAGAGAGAGAGAGAGAGAGAAGGAGACATGGAAGGAGGGAGAGCTTCTATTTGCTGGTTCATTCCCTAAATGACTGCATCTGCTAGGGCTGGGTCAGACCAAAGCCAAGAGCCTAGAACTCTACCTGGGTCTCCTACATGGATGCAAGGTCCATCTTCCACTGCTTCCCAGGTGCATTAGCAGGGAGATGGATCAGAAGTGGAGCAGCTGGGACTGGAACTGGTGCCCTTATGAGATGCCAGCATCACAGGAGGCAGCTTTACCCACTGAGCCACAATGCTGACCCTGAGAGTATTTTTGACAGGTGATTTTAAACTGGAAATGTTTGAAAAAGTGATTTGTGTATTTATTTGAAAAGAGAGACAGGGAGCCAGTGCCGCGGCTCACTAGGCTAATCCTCCGCCTTGCGGCGCCGGCACACGGGGTTCTAGTCCCGGTCGGGGCACCAGATTCTGTCCCGGTTGCCCCTCTTCCAGGCCAGCTCTCTGTTGTGGCCAGGGAGTGCAGTGGAGGATGGCCCAAGTGCTTGGGCCCTGCACCCCATGGGAGACCAGGATAAGTACCTGGCTCCTGCCATCGGATCAGCGCAGTGCGCCGGCCACAGTGCGGCTGCAGCGGCCATTGGAGGGTGAACCAATGGCAAAGGAAGACCTTTCTCTCTGTCTCTCTCTCTCACTGTCCACTCTGCCTGTCAAAAAAAAAAAAAAAAAAAGAAAGAAAAGAAAGAGAGACAGGGAGAACATCTTCCATCCTCTGGTTCACTCCCCTAGTGTCCTCAATGACCAGAACTGACCCAGGCCAAAGCAAGGCGCCAGTTGTCCGGCGTGAGTGGCAGGGGGCCAAACACTTGGGCCGACTTCTGTGTTTCTCCCAGGTCATTAGCAGGGAGCTGGATTGGAAGTGGAACAGCCAGGCCACACACTGGTGCCCATATGGGTTGCTAGTGTTGCAGGCAGTGGCTTTACCTTGCTACACTATGACACCAACCTCTAAACTCAAAACTTTTAAGGCTTAAAAGTTATCTCATCTTGTAGAAGGCCAACTTTGCTGATGTTTCTATGGAATTCTCTTGTAAACTAAAATGCTAATTTATTAAAGAACAGATAGATGTGAGAGAATGGGGTCAGTGTGTAATTTGGAATCACAAAGCTTTGGGCTTGAGAACAGCCTCCATTATTGATTAGGTGTGTCACCCCTAGCTTCACTTTCCTGTTCTGAGAAATGGGATAATAATGGCATCTACCTCACTGACTTAAATGAGCCAATATGCTTGACAAAGTACCCAGAATTTAGTAAAAGGGAAAATAAATGGTTGTCAGTAATGGTCAGAGTAACACTAGTGGATACACTGCATGACTGTTGCTGCTGCTGCTGGTGATGCTGATTATATCAGGCTGCTAGGACTACAGGACAGAGGGCCACATGCTAGCTGGCCTGCCTAACAGAAATATATTTACTCAAAATTCTCTGCAGTGGAAGTCCAATCTCAAAGTGTCTGCAGGGTCGGTTTCTTCTGAGGCTTCTATCCTTGGTCTGTAGATAGCTGTCTTTTCCCCATATTTTCACATTGTCTTTTCTCTGTATAAAAATTTCCTCTTATTTAAATATTTTTTGAATGGCAGAGACATACAAAAAGAGATCTTCCATCTGCTGGTTCACTCCCCAGATGCCCACAATAGCTGGGTCTAAGCCAGGCAAAAGCCAGGAGCACAGAACTCAATGTAGGTCTCCATGTAAGTGGCAGAGACCCAAGTACCTGGGCTGTCACCACTGCCTGCCAGTGTGCACATTAGCAGGCAGCTGGAATCAGAAGTGGAGCTGAGACACCAAACCCAGGCACTCTGATGTAGGATGCAGGAGTCCCAAGCAGTGTTTGTTTTTGTTTTAATTTTTAAAATTTATTTGAAAGGCAGAGTGACAGAGAGAGAGAGAAGGAGAGACAGAGAGAGATCTTCTTTCCACTGGCTCATTCGCCAAATGGCTACGACAAAAGCCAGATCTGGGCTAGGTCAAAGCCAGGAGCCAGGAACTCCATCCCAGTCTCCCACATGGGAGGCAGGGGCTCAAGTACTGGGGCCATCTTCTACCACCCTTCCAGGTTCATTAGCAAGGAGCTGAATTGGAAGGGGAGCAGCCTAAACTTGAACCAGTGCTCCAATATAGGATGCTGGAGTCACAACTGGTGGCTTAACCCACTGAA